AGGGACGAGTCCGCCATTTATCAGTAGCGACAGATTGCTCAAATGTTCACGGCTATTTTAAAAACACGAGGAGTGAGAATGAAATTTGATCTTAGGCCTTGTGATGTAAAACTACGTTTAAATAAATATTAATATTTGGTCTTCGATTTATTTTACAAAACAAACTGCCTTTTATGGATGTTAATCATGACCTGATCAACTTGTAAAACGATATAATGTACCGTGGTGTTATATAAGTGAACACTAAACAAATGAAAGTTGACGGTAGAGGAATTATTTGTTATAACGAAAATGAAGTACCCAGCCAATTACCGGGGTGAACTGAGTACACGAGTGTCGGCCGGGCTGACACCAAACACCCTGCTCTCTCTGTCTCGTCCTCTAAATTACTCCCGTCATATGTTGTACAATTTGTTTCCACTTTTTATGAAGTATTTTATTGATCGTTTCTACTGCTTCAAAATCCTGAGCATTTTTTATTTAAATATCCACGCTCAAATTTTCACAAATATGTACATTATTAAAATTGCACATATTTCTATGACTGTGGGACAACATCGTGTCACACATTAAATTGCGATTTCGATGATCACGATGAATACCAAAAATGTCACTGTAAAGTTACAAAAGAAGAAATATAGACTTATGTTGATACAAAATGGCGATTAAACTGATCATTGGTTTGTTGTTTGCGATCTTAAAAGGTTGCGAAAGAAACTTTATTGAAAAAAATAACCCAACAAAATTCATTTTATCTATAAATCCAGATATCAATGCAAGAGCATATATGTATTACGCTGTGTAAATATATAGCTGTCAATTAAAATATCCTTATTTGTTTCACGCCAGCGAATATGATCGCTAAACTGTATGCTGACATTTGACAGTTCAAAAAACCCAGAACGTGTTCTATTCTAACATTTCACTTCCAAATGGCAAATGTATAGAGCCCGCCATCATCAGATTACCTGTAACACGTGCTGACAACTGCTGGGAAACAAGACATTGTTTTGTGTCTGGTCATGGAAGCGGAATAACATACAGTCGACATATTCATAAAACCTTTGTCTAGACCAATATTTCTTAAGCTATAAAATTGACATAAAATAAGAAGGACAAATGTCTTATTTTATGGGAACAATGTCTCAATATTCAGTTTTACATGAACAAAGTGCTTTTCTCTCAGTAATTAATGTGTCATTTAAAAAAAAATTACATTATGATATAGGAATAATACTTCTGGTTTCAATATGAAATGCGAGCATTGTTTTTAATTCCAGCATGGTTTTCAGTTTCAATATCAAATTGGAGCATTATTTAGACTCGGTGTCAGTAATATTCTGCTATTTTTGGTATACTGATTTTTCATCATATACCAAAATTCCAAAATGCATAAATTTAGCAAATTTAATTGTTTTTGTTTAATTTTTGTTTTTGATAGTACATCACATTATGTTTTAAAAATATTCAATTTGGTGGTAACTTAAGTTTTGTAAATATTGTAGAAAACATTTTTACTTAATTTTCATAAATTGGGGAAAAATTTCAGAAAAATGGCTACTTTTCAGCTGATATATCCCAAAAAGTGAGTCGAGAACCCCCTTTTTATTTTCATATATGGAATCTACGCAAAAAATGCAAGAAAATAAGCCTAATTAGAAAAAAATGACATGGGTTTTTCCAAAGGGATGGACCCACCTTAAATTCTTTGTTTTTTGTGTGTAACTATATATTTAGCTACGTCACCGAAGACCTGCAATTTCGCTTATTGACGATGCGCTTTAAATAACAAGATACGCAGTGACCACGTCGGTTGCTAATTCAGTGTTCGTCAGCAGTCGACATCTAGTACGGACATCATGATATTCGGAGCAAACGATTATATATAGAATCGACTGCGATATGTAAAAATTGCGGGGAAGCAGGGATATTACTATCATAAAAGAGAAAATTCACACTTGACATTGCAACGTTTATCCTACAGCTTAGTAGGAAGCTGTCCCTATTGGTCATGGTTATGATCATTGTATATGCGGCATGACTAGTATACCATATACAGAATTCCCGAAGGTTTGTGTCTCTCATGAAATATAATCCTCTAAATAAAGGCCATTAAGACTAGTTTTATCTTCCGTCGTGCTGTTTTCATTGAGGATTTATTGTTTATTTGTATAATACGACATTGAAACACTGTTTGTTGAACGTCTCGTTTCTGAGTGATGGTATGTATATACATCGTCTGTATTTATTTTGATGCTATTGTGCGTGTAAGCTCTAGACATGGACGTTTATTGGTAAGACTTCAAAAACGAACAAACGACACAAATGATATTTATACTTATCCGTCATGACAAACTTGCCATCTTCTCAGGTATTTTGGGATTTTATTCCACTTTTTAATGGCGCCATACCGACATTAGCAGACATACAACGCATTGATTTTAGATATCAACATTCTTCAGATTATCAAGCAAGTATCAAATGAAAACAATCCAACGTAACTGTATACACAATGCACACGTTATTTACATGACTCGAGCCAAGTGCAATAGCGTTTCTTGACACGTAATGTTCGTGCACACGCACTCGCATATTCAATACGTTTCAGTGAAGGTTTGTTAACACATACTGAATTGAAATATGTCGAATTCTGACGGACAAATGCACGATTCAGGTCGATGAAGACCATGGTGGAGTTTGATGATCGTCATCATAATCTCGGTGTTGAATACTATATTTCCCTGTTCAATATAAATCCTATGTTAATGCTCATTGGTGTCTTATTGCTACGAGGACGTGACATAGTTTGGATTTAACCTAGAATAACATGCTGGAAGACGTGGACAAAGCAGAAAACGCTTATCCTTCTGGGATATCTGGTCTTTTTTTTTAGAGAAGGGGTTCCTTGTAAATCTTTCCTTTCGTTCATATTTTTTCCAAGTTAAGCCGATTTTGTATTATTATTTTGTTCACCAAAGTAACCACTGTGGGTAAGATTTTTTATTAAGTCAAACAAAAACCTTTATTTAACATTGATTAACATGTGATATTCTGAAATGGCTATTTTCTAAAGATGTTCCATAACCTTTCCAATCTCCGAAATCTTTTCCCAATAAGTCGGTTTGTGTGTGATGAATAGAGCGGAACTATCTTCATGAAAGAAGTTTCCCGTTACACACATTAATTAGTGAAGATAAGTAGTTAAGTATGAAATACAGCTGATGAAAGTGATGAAATGAACAACTCTTGCCTTTCTTAATTGTATGGACCGCAGCAGTGTAAATATAATATTCTAAAAACACGATTTCAAATTTGACATTTTATTTCCATTTATATACAAATCGTATTGGAATGAAAACATATTTAATAGAAAAATATAGACCAAGTGCTGAAACATACACTTGTATACAACATTAATAATTTAGAACCATATTTATATTGAAAACGTAACTGTAGGAACAAGGCACGTCTATTGATATACAAATAAAACACATGTAGCTAGCGTCACAAGCCTGGTAGCTTTCGGTGTTTTCCTGATGCTCCTAGTAACAAACACCAATCTTATAAATCTGAATTGCAAACTTCATGGATAATTGCTATTAATGATGACAAGTATGGCTGAAATCGTATATCACAATCATATTATAATTTTATGACTATAAGTCACTTTCTCCGTTTGTACATTACGACGATTTTTGTTTCCAAATTCTCATCAAAGATACACAAAACACTGATTTTCAGGTAACTTAACAAGAGAAATATCAGACTAAAAATCCCGATTTCAACGAAATATTGTGTGTAGAAATGTCGATTTAATTTGTAGAATCGAAACTGAAACAGTTCCGATTTAATATTAAATCCGCGTTCTGCCGTATATTGCATGATATGGTCATTTGTATTCCAAGAAATTAACATGTGTATAACTTCCCCTATATAGCGAAGATAATAACAATAAAAGACTATTTGTTTCTTTTTTGATTCTCTCTTGCATAGACAAATTCTAATACCTCGATCTAAACCTTACAACAGAAACAAGTTATCAACATAATGCTTCGTACGTTTCAAAAATCCTAAACGTCAGGGGAAAGGGGGCGACAGAAAGATAACGGAGATATGTAACGTAACGCTCAATCGACAACACCACGACATCGTTGTTTTAGGATATCATTACACTAAAAGCCCAAAGTATTAACGCTTGCCAACTATGTGGTCTTTGGACATTCATACATTTTTTTTGTATTATTCGGTTCCAGACAATATTTCAACAAATAACATATTTCTAATTGAAGAACAATGTTTTTAATATCCTTGGTAAATAAGATAATATTTTCCCGTTGCCATTAACCCTTATTTTCGATTGAGAGCCACTGTGTTACTGAGCCAAACAATTGACACCTAAACAGCTTAACCCTTTCACCCCTATGTAACTTTAGTAGACTCTACCATGTATTGATATGGATGAGTGCATTATGGTCTACAGTGGTGAAAGGGTTAAAGAAAGAATGTTTGTCACACTTTCGAAGATGTTGATTTACATAAAAATGCAAGTCAATGAAAATTAAGAATAGAACGTTAAACGTTAACAGAGATATAAGTTAAACATTGTGAAACTAATATTCAGTTTTATAAGAGTACACTACACTCTTAATCTAATGATAATACAAATCTTGTCTTATTTAAACAAGACATACCTTTAACATTAGTATGTATCATACACTGCAATTTGTCACATTTACTTTATTCTTTTATGAAATATCTTAAATTATTTGCAATTATATTACTTTCACATTTTCCAGGGCCCGTATTCATGACACCATGCTCATGCTCAAGCATGGATTCTGTGCTCGAACCTACTTTCTTGTAACTCGCTTCAATCTTCTAAATAAAGATCAAAAAGTCAAATGTAAACATTGGAACCAGTTTTCGGCTTTAAGTCTCTTCAATGTTTTTCCAAATCATTGAATAAAATAACAGTTGTTTATGAATTCATAACTAGAACAAGAAATTCGGCTTGAGCACAAATTCCATACTTGAGCATGAGAACGGTTTCATGAATACGGGCCCTGGGCTTGACCCCTACACCAGAGGCGAACCGTTAGATAGAAGTGAGAATGTGTTCACGTGTGCGAAAAACATGTGTTCTCTATGACAAGCCTAACTCTATCTATTTTGAGTTCCTTACTTTCACATATTGCACTATAAGAGTTGAGACAAAAACACGATAATTGCATGGCATGATTAAGCTCTGTATGTCACCTGATATGGTGAACTAGCCGGATATCGCAAAAGGTAATCAACAAACATCGGAATATTTTATACATGAACTTGGTATCATAACAGTTTCGTGTAAATTATTTGTAATATTAGCCACAACATCACTAAATGATTTGTGTTTATATAAAGATGACTTTCTACACCATTCTGTGCCTGGGCCTCTCGGTAGTAAGCTGGAACGAGAAGAGAGAAAAAAACACATTAATCTTAAACTATAATTCCAAAGTATGTGACGTGAGATATCAATGTTTACAATGAAGAATCGGTATATAATGACTAATCTAACAGACTTTTATTTTTTTGTAAGTTAAAGTAAATAAATGTTTCATTCACATATGATAAAATGAATATATTTTTGCACAAATGTACTTTACTGCACGCTGTGTATGTTCTGTTCTGTCTCACATAGAACATCACGTGACCTAGGTTGATGTTGATATCTGATACATTTATCAGATAAATGGCTGATCTTATACATAACAATATACAAACGTATGCGTGACAGAACTGTACACAGTACTTTTTCAACATCTGGAATGTCATGTAGTTTTATTTGTTTATTTACTTAAACATTTATCATTTATTTGTTGATATACAGCGATGCATTTAAGAAAAAAAGTGAAAAAGCAAAGAGAAAAACCTTATGCATTACGTATACAGCACTTTAGCAGTGTGATAACGTTATCGAATTTAAGCAATGTCGCCCATAGAAACATGATTATCCTAGATCAAATATTTTGCTGTAGAAACAAAGACCAAGGTTCTCCATGATCAAACATTCTGCTGTAGAAACGTAATTATAATGGTAATTACATGATGATCGCTAGAGCGCTGAGAAGGATTTTGTTTGAATAGTAACGGTGACCTTGACACTGACCCGACAACTCTGAAACTCAAAAGTGTCTGAGATACTATGTTCCTTTGTAATTGTGTGAAGTTTGATCAAAATCCCTAAAGGAATGAAGCCGCTAGGCAGACTTACAAAGTAACCGCCAAGGAAAAACAGAGAATGTGGGCATTGAAATGTGTTTTCGACAAGCGCAGTGGCAAAGAAAACGTTATATCGAGCTTTTATTTAATTTACATATAACTTACCACAGTAAATTTCGTCGGAGCGATCGTCACAGTCGTAAACACCATCACATATGTTAGACATAGGAATACACAGATAGTTGTTCCGACAGTGGAAACCCCCGCTACATGGATCCACCGTTGTCGGCGCTGTAACAAAATATATATATCATTATACAAGATCACTTGTCATGTAACAGTAGGAGATAACATTTTACGCCACAATTTTTGCAATTTTACAAAGTACAGTGTTCATAATGAAATGGAATTATTAACATTATTATTTAAGGAGATATTTGTCCTAAACGTCGATAGGTGATCGCTTACATTGTAACTGCAATTGTAACGGTACAGATCCTGTGATTATAAACTCTATCAGTGCGGCGGATATACCTGTACATCTGTAACGATTTTTTTATAGAATTAACTTTTTTTCATTTTTTTCGACAGCACTTAGTTGATAAAATATTTTCAACTCATTATAATTATCATATGAATTAATTTCAAATAATGGCATTCTTTATCAACCTCATATCACTGGAAACATCATAGTTTTAAATATCATATGATGTCTGGTGTATGAGAGAAAGCATTCCGAGCGATTCAGAGATAATGATAATATGAAAAGTACACTTACGTTCTGGCGGTAACGACCAGCCTAACTCTATCTTCCATAACTCTGTTCACAAACAAAGTCAAAACATTAGAGAAGCACTAAGGAATAAAATAAATAATAGATAAAGAAGATATTGAAGATAAAGAAGTGTAACATGATCTATCAGGTCTATTGTAGACATTTTAAACACGTGGATAACGGAGAGAAACACAATGAAAGCAGGTTCAATAAATAGAGTACATCTTCTCGGAAAATACTATAAGACACAGAGCATCAGAAGAAACGCTAATAGCTAGATAAGATCAACATAGGCTACAATGGGCTCCAACAATACGTACTTGATATAGAACACATAGGTTCTGGACTTTCGTCTGAGTTGTCGCCACAGTGATCCACTCCATCACAGGTAAGCTGGCGATCTATACACCACAGGTTGCTACATAGGTAGTCAGCTTTCTTAGGACAACCATCTGAAACACCAGATTTTGAAAATTTAGTCATCCTCTAGGAGTTTTTTGTTCATTTAACTTACTTTTGTCGTTAAATCTAGTTCTTGTTGCTTTCCCCTTGTGTCTTGTCATTTTTCATTATATATCTTGAATAAGTTAGATGTTCGATTACATTTTTTCATATCTTATGCAGGTGAAATATGATACAGACGAAGACTTTATAGTAGTAATGAACTAGAGGCAAAGATTTCATCAGATTTTTACAGGTAAATAATATGCCAGAAGTATGCTAATAGGTGAAGACATCCTTATATCACCAGAGGTAAGCTATAGTATGCTTTAGGTGAAGACATTCTTAAAGGTATGCTACAGGTGAAGATATCACCAGAGGTAAGCTATATACAGGTGAAGAATTTTTCAGAAGTATGCTTTAGGTAAAGACATCCTAAAAAGGTATGCTACAGGTGAAGATATCACCAGAGGTAAGCTATATACAGGTGAAGAATTTGCCAGAAGTATGCTTTAGGTAAAGACATCCTAAAAAGGTATGCTACAGGTGAAGATATCACCAGAGGTAATCTTTATACAGGTGAAGAATTTGCCAGAAGTATGCTTTAGGTAAAGACATCCTAAAATGGTATGCTACAGGTGAAGATATCATCAGAGGTAAGCTATATACAGGTGAAGAATTTGCCAGAAGTATGCTTTAGGTGAAGACACCCTTAAAGGTATGCTACAGGTGAAGATATCACTTGAAGTATTGTGAAGGTGAAGAATTCACCGGATCTATTGCAACAGGTCGATGTTTCCAGGCTCTGTATTATAAAAATGGCTGAAGACTACATACGATATATGAAGTAACACAATAAATCGCTACAAAGACAGATGAAAGGCACACTAATGTGATTGCAACTGAATTTGACAAGGAATGAATTAACTTCTGCACCATGCATCCTTTTGGTCCTTTTAGGACACATTAGTGATGCTTCGGGCCAATCAAGTGAAATCCACATTGTCCAAATAGAGGAAGAAGTGTGTTTTACCCCTTGATTATTTAAATTTCAAAATTACGAAGTAAGGAAGCACTTATTTAAAATGTATCTCGTCCATGCTTAAAGCAAAACGAAGTATTTGTTTTCGCCGAGAAGGGCTATTCATAACTACCGCTAGGTTTTTCCATGATGTTTTCTTGTTAACTCTATGCATATGTCTATTTCATGACATAAAACGGTAGATATATTACCGTCAGTGATATTATCCACGGCTGTGTAAACGAAAGTGAGGCTGTCTTCCGGGTAAAACGTTCCTCTTAGCCGGATGTAGAATCCCTCCTTGCTAGTTAGCCACGTCCCTGTCGTCAGGTTGCCGGATATGAATCGCGCAGTCTGAGGGCCAATGGATGTAATACCATCGTGGATATCCAAGGTATTGCTACCAGTGTCTAGCCATCCTAAAACATAGATTTTGATAGAGGAATTATTATTGAAACAATAATACGTTACAAGCTGGATACAATATGACCTCTGTGTATTCGACAGTGAAAAGGGTTCATCCTTATGTTTCCTCACCAAATTAATTATTGATGGAAATATGTCGATGTCTTCCAGTTTTTGATTAATTACATATTTCGGGCTGTGCCTTTTCCCTTATTTGTTTTCTTCTCTAAGGTTGTTTTTATTATTATGATTATTCAAAAAGCGGATCAGGGATCCGGACCCTTCCCAATGCCCCCTAGATCCGCATGTATGAAATGTAAACTTCAGTTATCGATAGATTCTGGTAAACACGTGTCTTTCTAAACTAGAAAACGCAATGTAAGAGATCCTTAGGTCAATTTGAACTAAAATGTAAAGTCATCAAGTTTATTTTGAATAAGCTTTCCACAATAGCAGCTGTGTGACAGATGAAAGGGATTAAAGTCTGACATGCTGACACATAACAAAGTATGTACATATTGCACTTGTTAAACAACACCACAGTCGTGTTCCACCACCCAGGGGAAATGTAGAACAACAATCGTCCTGTCTAAACTGACACAGGAATTTACAATAGTGTTGTCAATTACATGGAGATTCCCATCCCAACTTTGTAAACATGGACACAATTCAACACTCTGTCTTACTCATCTATTTATTCCACATATTCAATAGAAATTTACCTTTTTTTCCGAAGTAATCATGTTCTGAAAGCAACTATAAACGAACTTTTCGAACGTGCATGCTATGTCTTTAATACAAACGAATATATACTGTAATGTAAGCCTCTGCGATGGGTATGTCAAACATGTCGAACTCAGCCTAGCTGTCTATGAGAATATGCATAATGCAAATGTACTTCCTATTCTAGTAACACGCATGTCAATATAGCAGGAAATAACAGCACGCATGTTTTTCTCGTTCCTTCAGAAATAACAAGGCTCAGATTATAGATCAGAATGTATTAAATGGTTAGACATATCACTCAGTGTACAGAAACAACTTACCATCGCCTAGCGAGTAATCTGTCAGTCTCAACAGCATTCCCTCCATACTCTTACTCGGCGGTCTCTTTATGATCCAGATACAATCGTAGACCCCCGGGACCGAGGGGAAGGCGTGAGTTAACTCCAGCTTCCCTCCCGTGTTGACCGGAACAAAAGAACTACAATCTGAGAGGAGGCAAGCGTTACTTAAATAAAATTAAATTCATATATTCAATTTAAATTTATTACTTAGTTACCATTTGATTCAGATTCAGATTCTGTATTTCCTTGTGTCTTGCAACACATCGGAGAGAAGACGTTACATAATATACAGTATTTACAAAACAATACAATGACATACACAATATTATACAGGTGCATTATGAAAAGTAGTACATTTACATGCACTTTGATCTTACTTCATATCATAATGATATACATGGTATTCTAATTCAGTTAGATGCAACACCACACATCATAACAATACAACATATTACTTTCAAATACATTACAATATAGCAAGTCACAAGTTAATATCACGCAGCGTTTGAGAGGTAACGCGAGGGGGAGTTACCAAAACAATCAACACGATAACTTTCTCTTTATATTGAAACTCTTGGTGACAATTGTTTTATATTTATGGACTTACTACACAACCTCATATGTTGACCGAGACTATGATGTCTGAGACAGACTTCAGGATTCGTATGCATAAAACATCTAAAGTCCAAAAGTTCAACTTTGCATATAACCTTGTGCTCCTAGCATATTGTTTATTTCAAGGTCTATGGACAAATATATTTATATAATACTTACTGGTACTGGGTTTCTTGTCCCATCGCTTCTCTGTCAATGTAAAACATGAAGTTTTGATAATAACTATGTTCTCCGATGTGAATATCTCGATCCACTAATCACAACAATGCATGATTTTTTTTATTCAAAGTAAGGCTTTCAAATTGATCATAATGATAACTAACACTTTATGATAACGCACCATTTTAGCAGAATAACGTCTCAAAGCATCCACACAAAATGTCAAAGAAAGGGACTGAACTTTCAGGTGAAATGAAAGACTCAAAATAGTAACAACGGCGGGGAGTAACCCGCGAATCAGGCAGGATGCTTTCCGCACCGCATATTGGACCGTTTATAATGTTTCCCGTCAAATCAAGTACAATAAGTCTGGCACCATGGTGAACGATGATATTTTATACATGATGGTTGAAACAAATAACGATTAACATTTTTGACTTTTTTCAGTCTTGGCTTTTTTTGTGTGGTTTTTCGTTTAGCGTCCTTACAATAGCTACGGACATATGAAGACGTATGCAAAGGGGCAGAGCGCCAAAAACAAAGGGTAGGGAAGTGAGAAAAGAAAACATAAAGCTCCCAAGTCTTACAATGGGGCAACAGATCGAGTTTTGGCTTCTTCAATGATTCCTAAGCAGAAGATATAGAATAAAGACCCCGATTCTTCAGGAGACATCATTGATCTCCTCTAACGATTACATACAGAGGGGGAAAAAGGTCTTCTTTTCAGTTATTCTTTTCGCTAACCTGCATGATGAACGGAAGCTTCTCTGATAGAAATGCATACACGTATTTATATATATATATACCAAGACATTTCTGAAACTTGATCTAGCCGGCTCTTGAGTAGAGAACAAGGATATGTAGAAAGGGGAGGGTGGTACGTTACTACTGAAGCCAACAGTTCAGTTCTGAAAATCGTTTCGTAATCAGCAAGAATTGATACACATTTGTATCCCATCAGAATATCAATAGTCTCTTTTAATATTATTCAGTCGTGTCGTTCATAAAACATAGAAATCCGGACAATCACGGAATAAACACATGCATTGATATATATATGTAGACCTTTTCAGATATGAATCATGTATTCGTATTTATGCAGACATTTTTTTATAATATAAAATTATTATATTTATACATCATGTATAAGATAAATCACTCGGTCAAATCCTCCCGATCAGTCCAGTTTAACACAGACGGTACTATGTTAACCCTTTCACCACTCTAGACCATACTAGACTCATCCTTATCAATGCATGGAACAGTCTACTTAAGTTACATAGGGGTGAAAGGGTTAATGGGTGTACTGATTTAGATATCTTACCGGAGACAAACTGGTACGTGGCTTTGAACCCGATGTGCTGACAACACTTGTGTGGGAACTTCCCTGTATTGAACACGACAATTATGGTGTTGGATTCCGACACCAGCAGGGGGCGCTGCTGTTTGCTAAACACCATGGACGGCGATGATGCGTGCAGACCATCATATATCTGTGAATCATGATAAAAATAGCTATAAACAAAATATTATTGGGTCATGGATCGGTCCGAACAGAAATAGGGTGGCATGGGTGTTTAATAATACACAAGTAAAACTTTCAGGTAATATTTTTCACCGATATCCGATTTCTTAGGTATATGTTTTATGATTATATCATTCATCAACCATTCAATGTTCCTGAGCAGGGAAACCATACCGGGGTACGGCGGGTAAAAAAGGACAACGAAAAAAGGCAAGTGGAACAAAAAAGGAATACAATTGCTACGTCATACAATTAAAAATAACAAACAAGACAAAATAAGTGTTTGAGCGATGCTCCCCTGTTGACAGACGGTCGTGGATTGAAAAGTAGATAATTGAATCACTGTATATAACCGCTGACAGAAGGATGATGACTGTCATACTGTTAGCTATCTTCTCGCGCGACTTTGGAGAGTCAGTTTCCTTTTTGACCACCCAACAACATTACTGAACCTGACTCATACAATATGCCATTTGTGTATCACGAAACACGGTCGGCCACCAAACGGGGATAGCTACACCCATAAAGCCGGGAGGACATTGGTTTTTATAGGAATTTCAATTCAAATATCATTTCAATTTGATGTAGGATAAACTTCAAATGGCTGTTTTACAACGATAAATGCTGTGCTCATCCATAAACACCGACAGGTGTTTCAAATGGCACTAATTAAATGGGAGAAAAGTCTGCACTACTTTTCCTATCTGCAGATTGAGGTACATATGACCGTGTATAATAACTCTGGTAATAGTGAGCATATTGTCTAATGGTCTCTCCTTTTACAAAAAGTCGAAATATTTAATAACAAGATTGACAGCGATAGGCTAGCCTTTTATTTCTCTTTGATTAAGATTCATGTGATGCTCTACAGAGAAAATTACCCTGAAACTCCATATATCACTGGCAACAAATAATCGTCTCTACCATACCGCTTCATAACGAAATCAAAGCGAGGTGTGTTAGGTGGCCGTATCTCGAGGAAGGGACTATATCTCTGGCATGTCAAAACGCTTGTGATTTCTCACTGATATGAGCTGTAGAACTTCACACCTAAATTATAGGATCACTTTGCACTGATACAAAGCAACAAAACACCACGGTCAAATTATGTGGTAATTTTCACATTACAGATAAGTCTGGGGAGACAGGACGGATGCACACGAAGAAATAGAAGAGAAGTATGTTTTACCGACCAGGAAATAAAAAAGGTTAGCAGTACTAATGGTAACATGTGTATGGACGTTTTATATGCTAGCCAAGACTTGGAAAAATACCACGTATGTAGGAGTAAATTTGTTTTCTTATCAAAATAGTTGATCAAAACCTTTAGATTGGCAAAAATATCAACAACGGAAAAAAATATGAAAGATATTTGACGTCGTAAAATGATCAGATAACAAGAAATAACTGCTTTAAAAGCAAACCCAAAATGATCATTCATTAAAAATGGAGATGATAAATTATATTCATTTGTAGTTATAGCAAAGAAAGAATACCAATGGGCGTTTTCACCTTATACAGTATATTTATAAAACATTGTGACACTAATTAGCGTTTTGGTCTTTTTGCATGGCTTGAAATTTGCAACGTCTTCAGCTTTAGAAATCTTTGCTGGTTTCTCGTTATTTTATAATGATCTTTCGAATTGTAATGAGCATAAGTATATCTAAAGTATGATTCATTCCTACTGTCTGAAACAGAAAGTATATCCCTCGCACGCACGCCAGTTTTTAGATGTGTCAACTAATTAATGAATTTAAAACGATTCTTCTGATGTCATTTGAACACGTTAATAAATAGTTATTTGTAGGCAAAATGCTACAAATCAATGCATTCTACGACAAAATTATCCTTAAACTATGGACACATTTAAAGATTTTAAATTATTATATAATCAGACCGAAGGCGTGTTATTGTGTGCTTCAATGTGCCCAAATGACTATTACGTACCATTTACTTAAATCTTGATTCGTGTATCTTACCTGTATCTGACTGACGCTTGCGATGTGCCAGTCATCAAACGTTAATCGGATGTGGCCGTAGGGGTCAAGGTTGTGGATGGTGTAGGTGAAGGTTTCCTCATTGAGAGCATAGCCATTGGGGAAGTTTGGGGACGTGATGTGTCCTCCGTCAACCGGATCTGACGACACAGATGATACCGAACCGGTCCTCATCTCCCGCTTCTCTGTAATCATAGGAAACACTCATTGGAAACAGTTTTTCACTTTATAGTTTTAAAATCACGGCGAAATTGAATGTTTCAATACTGATCAATTTCTTTTTTAATTTACTTTTTGGTTTCCAAAGCCTTCCATTTACAACAACAACAATACATAACGAAAACGTGAGTATGATACGTTCCCTGACTACCCACATATTCACAAGGAAATAAACGCCGGCTAAGAGCAAACAATACACAAATCATGTTTCCCAACGAGTCAAAACTCAATAACACCTCAACTAATTTCAAAAATGAGACCACGACTGAAAGACAGCAGGTTTGCATAGTTGATTAATATGAAGGTAATAATAAAAAGCCCAATGCTGACATGTTTTAAACGTGTTTTACAGTCACGTCATTAATTTAATATACGATCGACATGAAGAGAAAAATCTAAAAATGCCAAAATGTCAACACTCAAAGTCAAATTCAGACTCCAAATTCAATACCAAAAGACACAAGGAACAAGGCGACAACGGAACAAATGGAAAGACATCATAACCCATACAAAAACCCTAAATGAAAACTGGGTTTTCTAATGAAGCAAAGAGGCCAAGTAAGAGCATTTGTAATGTGGTTCTCAACTAACTGACCAATCGTGTCACAACAGTTTGTGTAATTTTAATATTGATTGACATCAATTGATATGCAACACGATGACGTTGTGATGTCCATTTAAAATGAAAACTGCCACTGCGTTATGTAAAACAATATATTTTTATGTACAATCACCATCAACATTCGTTACGTCTGCTATGGATGACATCTGTCACGTGTCATTGATAAATGAAATGTCAGCGAAAAGAACATGAATATGTTACCAATGTAACCAATGAATTATTGATTCGTATGCAAATTATTCTGAAGCTAATAAGGTACTATTCGTCATTGTAAAACCAGGGGGAGATTATCCTTATTGAACTCGTTATATTTGTGCAATTTGCATTACTACACTATAGGGGCTTGTATGTAATCCGAGAGTTCCGTGTCCTTGGTCACCTGCTCCGTAATGTATTATAATATGTGCCTTGTGTAGTCATATAACACTGCGGATTATATTGACGATTGTTGTCCCTCAGCTAGGAATAAAGCTGTGACATGTTGAATAAAACATACGGCGATATTCAAACCTGGTTTTTTTGTCGCTTTAAGCAAGAGCCTTGACGTTTTAGGTACTTTTTCTATATTGCAATTGAAAGACATAATATTTGTTTGAAAATAATTGAATACAGAATGGTTTTAATAAAGCTAATTTTTTTTTTTTTTGTTTTTTTGTTGCTTTTCTTTTGCTTTAACGATTTTAGCAATGCAAAGTCGATGATTTACAATCTGTAACGGTATGACCTATGTTAGCGACATGAAACGGTAGAGCATGGTATGAAGAAATACTTTTTCAGTGATTGGCCCTCTCTCGCTGAATGCCAACACCTTCCCTCAATCTCATCACAACTCGCTCCAACTCCAATTCCAGACGAAATTGAAAGTTTGGGTGATTAAGACAGCGCGATATATATATTACTTCAATTAAATTGATAAGAAAAGGAAATGGAATTAAATGTATAAGCGAAGTGAGCACGTGATACACACATTTAATTGACAATGTCATGTTTTGAAGTGAACTTAACATTAAACGTTTTGTGATCTGGCAAGAGGAAGGTGTTGATAGAGGATTGATCGGGATAAACGACTCGAAGTTGTTACGAAAATACACCGCAAACACGTCAATAGTTAGACGTTATCGACGATCTCAGGAGCGGCACATTAGTCACAGTCTCCCAACACAATTCAAAATTGGCGCAATAGGAATTCGACACAGTTTCCAGGTGGATGTTTGAATTGTTTGTTGATAAAAGATTTTGTTTTTCGTTTGAAGTCAATTTACGAAACGAGAAAAATAAAATAAGTGTCTGGCCAACACAGAAGTAATGTTCGGTTAAGGACGTAAATAGCATCTCCTGAGGAATTAAGCGTTCCCTGGCTCCTTATTGATTAAATAACTTTTAGGTTCAAAAGCAATGCCGAGTGCAGCCCTCGGTAGATGTGGACGGGCAGGGGCCCAACAGGTCAAGAGCTGTTCCGTGTCTGTTCAGACGTGTACTGGCATGTCTCTTCTCATTTAATTAAACCTTCTTAGATAATATTTGACGAGAGCAACCGAAAGTGTCATCTACGTAGCAAACATGTCGTTAATGTCAAACATCAACGGCTGACTGGGAAATTAGAAATAGGAACATGGACACCGAGCACACCTCTGACAAATTGCACATTACTTAAGCAATAGACAAATTATGACGGATGTAATTAAACGTCCTTTAAAAGATTAGGCACATAATGTGTTCGCTTCAGTTCCACCGAGCAGAATGGATTGCACGTGTAGGCCTTAGATGGTAGGATTACTGTTATCTGTCACGTGCTGTGAGCACCGCGAAGGAGCTAAAAATGTTGTTAAAAATGTCATTTTTCTGCATGAATGATCGAAACAGCTTTTTTAAGCGTGCTTAAATGATTTCTCGTCCTAGCAAAAACAAAATAACAACGTTAAGACTTAAACTGATTGTTGACCATCCACAATATGATATGGCGTCATTCCAGAATGAAAAGAATAAATTTCCACTCCATACTTTATTTTTTATTATTTTCGTTACCCATTAGAAATAATACGAGTACATCTGAACAAGTATAGTGTGGGGGTTGACCCAAAGACACATTGACCGTTCTTTTACATGGAGGGTTTCCATAGCTCACATTGAAATGATTTTGTTATGAAGGTTGGCCAAATATCATATTGAGACGGCTTTAGCATTGAAGCTGCCCTGGTTCACATTGGCACACATTGTCAAGAGAATGTCCACATTGAGATGACTTTTGTATGAAGGGTTGCCCCAGATCAAATTAAGACTATCCTGATAAGATGATACATCCCACCCCATGTTGCGTTATGACGAATGTAAATTGAAGATACCCTCAGGTTACTTAAAGACGATATTTGGTATGAAGGTGTTTGTTGGATACACTGAAATGACTTTGGTAGAAAGAATAAACCCATATTCAGGGTGAACGGGAAGGATAGTGTATACACGTACCAATTACCTGGTATTTGATCCGGAACCTCTTGCCGGTTTCGCCCGTTCCATTAGACATGCAGTGACGTATCCGAACACTAGATGAAATGGATTCATAGGTGGCGTTCGTGTCGTCGTTGTGGTAATTCCGCCGATAGAGGCCGTTGTAAGGCTTGTCTACTTCGTGTATTTGCACATGGTCACAACTGGAAAACATCGAATCACAATAAGTTTGTTAATAACTTTATTGTCAATCTTTCTTTTAAGATAAAATCAAACAATAACAACGTGTATTCCTTGTTCGAAAATGACTCTTTTTATCATAAACATAATGAAACAAATCTTCGAGTTGCAATTTTCCGGATACTATAAAAGAAACACAGATGCAAGATTTTCCATCATTTACAAATTGTGAGCTACAACAGAAGCTCGGTGATAGAGGTAACACCCGACATGTACAACATAGATCTTAGTCACCGAAATGTTACTGTACTACAGAACGTACACGGCAGCAACATACAGAGGGGAGTGACCAACCATGAATAAGGATACACAAGACAGTCGGTTGGACGTCCACAACCTTACACGTCAGTCATACATTCACAACAAGACAAATCGGTCAGTATTTTGTATGTCACGTGATCAGATGTAATCAAAATAGACGTACCACAACGTCATCAAACAAAGAGACGACTTCTCACAAGCTGTGCTAATTTCAATATATATTTTAAAATAATTTGCAGTTTTGAAAAAATGTAACATTTTATCGAAACCAAACGAGCATCCAAGGTCAATATCCAAGTCATAATGCAGACATTATGTTCTGTTATCGCAGATCGAAGTCTGTCTGGCAATAAAACAGCGACATGAAGGTAATTTATTGGTCAAACTCTATCAAAATAATAGTGGTATTTAGACTCAATGGTGAATCAACTGTACTACTTGTTACCACCATACACAGGGGTTGCTGCTACTAAGGAGAGGGAAGTTAGAGGTAGTCAAATTAGCCTCGTCACCTTTGTAGTTGAGTATGGTAGAAAGGTGATCATTATGGTCAAATTGTAGGTAAATGTCAACATATGTAGCGGAAAAAAATGAAGTCTTTAATATATTCAATTTCAAGTTCTGGGGGAAAAGTGATATATTCGAAATTATCGAAAATTCCTGTTGCTATTGTACTCAACGACAAAAAATATCAATCATCCAGAATGTGAAACTTCGTTTTAGATAATCATTGTATATATTCAGCGGCATAAAAGTACAACAGCATAGCATGCAGTTATTTCCCAATAGAATACCGATGGCATGTTGATATATTTTCCATCACATTTAACAAAAATGTTGTCGATCAAAACATTAATCAGACGTGCGGACAATAGTGTTATTGAACAGTTTCCTTTCAAGCATTGAGAAGTGCATTATCGTATGACTAAACGAGTAGTACTCCATTTAAATCATACCCCAATTTTAAGCACTTTGTCATGACAGAACCAGAATTTATCATTTTGACAGCATGCATATGAGGTTTCCTGACCCTTTGTGCTGGCTCAATTTGCGTATCTGTGATGTTTCACATTTGTGAAATAGCAACAAGGTTTTTTATTCGATGATGCGCAAATCTCCAGATGAACAAAATCTTGCTTGATATTTTATGATGTAAGATGTTTGAAACATTGAAAACTTGTACTCAACACAAACTTATATGGTTAGAAACGTCACAGATTTTTTTTTTAAATATTGCACAGAGCAACACTCACCCCGGAAGACACAAGTTCCGGTGTCTTGTCTTCCTGTGTGCAGGACACTCCGGGAAGTGGACGTCCACGAGTTGGAGGCGGAGCCTACACGTAGAACACGCCCTAATTTCCACATTACAGGCGTGGCCATGGTAATGATTGACAGTGTAGTTGTCCGGGTAATCTAATGACGTGATGTAACCGAAGTCGCCCTTCTCCACTGCTATCTTCACACTATCGTGAATCTTGAAACACGACGTCGTCCCTACACACAAAACGTTAAAACAATGCAGTTTACAAGGAATATCGCCGCCGTGTACCCAGTATGAACTGGGCTTTTTCAAGTAGATATCTTTACGTATAAACGTATAGGACTTAAGATCATACAAAGAAACAAAAGATGCATTTATAACTGTACCAACAAATTATATAACCTGCTGAAATGACAAAGAATTATAATTGATCCAGTGTATGAAATGATGTCTTCGATCATTAAAATGTATCGCGTGCGATGACACAGAATGGAATAGACTTCTTCTATTCATCACTATTTTACTACTCCATTCCGGGTATTGGAGTGTTGAATTAACATACCTCTGTCTATTCCTGTGACCAGAGCCGATACCGTCCCGATCATCCACATCGGCACCAGACCTGTGGAAACACAAACGTTAAAAATGTACCATTTCATCACACCAACACCTGTATCTGTGCATACATACACGGCTGTACTGTATACAAACACTACAAGCTGTATACGCTTCTCTCATGTATTACAAAAAAATGTTGACACATTAGATACTTTGATTGTTATATCATATACTTTTAGAGAAACTCCCAGTTTTCATAACCCATTATTCGTTCTATTAATTACATAGTGTGTGTGTGTATTGCTTTTTTTCCAAATTGTTCGTTGCGGGTCAAGCCGGCTCCATACCAATGTGTGACAGTTGTAATAGGTGTCTGACGATCAATTATAACGGGACAGAAACAGAAAATCATTAGTTTATTAATGTCCCCAGACAGCAGAACAATCTTGTCTGTGATTGATGACAATCTCTGGCCCATAACATTAACAAACGGTGTTCACGAGCTCCAAACCTGGCCTTGACCTTCTCAGACATTTGTTTATCTCGATGTAACCTGGCCAGAGCTACCGTTGACCTTATCGAGTCCTTTAGATCTTCATATCAACAGCTAAATCGACGACGAAGAACCAAACTACATAACACACAGTCGGACTGATTGCTAATTTCCGATTGTACATCGATCTTCATTACCGAGAAATCATATGATAAGTGTCGTTAACTCTATTGCTGATTATCTAAACATAGACAAAATGCCTGTTACTCTTTGATATAGCCGTAGGAGAAAATTAGGTGTCTTTCTCCACAGTTTAAAGTAATTACAGGTTTCAGTCTGATGTTTGATTGGTGTCTATTTCATAAAACTCATTGTGCACTGCAGCACTTAAGTGTAAATCAGGCGCTTTGGTAATAAGCTCGAGAAAATATACATCACTCCGCGCCCAGTAGATGGCGTTACGTGTCCCGATCCGTCATAAACCTGATCACCTTATGCACTCCATGCACAATTATACTGTCGTAAACTTTTCTATCTGCGTCGGAAATAAAAATTGTTTGATTTAAGGAGGAAAGTGTACCGAACTGTTTTTCAAAGATAATTTCCTAACGACTAAAGTGTGTCTGCACTTTTACGGATATTTCATACCGTCTAAAACTCCGGGGGTTTTAATCACTCCATCTACTTCCGGAACGTGACCACATTTTCAGCGATTATTTATCTCCTACTCGACAATATTGCAGTAGTATATAGAAACTAATGGCTGTAATTTTGTTTCTATATTTGGTTTAAAGTTGTAATTTCACTATCTTAACTGCAATCTACCGTCAAATTCTTCACACGATGTGCTTGATTACAAACGCCCTTTTTGGTAGGTCTTCATCACCATGACACGAATGTTTATTTCCATTTTTTTTCTTCTTTTAAATAACACACTTCAATAATATGTTTTGTCAGTTTTTCAATGATGTTTAACTATGAAAAACTGACTGGAAGCTTTAAGTTTCGAAAATAAATACAATCGCGCAATACTAAACTATATTTTTTCCTGACGCCTTCCTTGGCCACGGCATTTGTTTCCAGAAATATGTCCAGTCTGTCTGCCTTGTGCAAATGATCGTCCTTCTCTAACAGCACTTGACCAGGAGTCAGCATGCTGATTTTGATATAGAGTTTCGTCTGTCACTAAACGACATCTAACATCACGACCGACTGTATAGCATATGCTTTTGAAATACGATGAAAACAATACTTGTGTCTGTCTGCTATTCTTCTACATATACATTACAGAACGCCATTCTGACCAATCTGATTCCTTGTATAAAGAGGGTGCAGGTTGTACGGGAGTGTTTTCATAGCACATGCTTTTAAGTTACAGTTAAAACAAAACAATACCTGTGTGATTCTAGTATTCTCCATGTGTACGTTAGAAGAAGTCAGTCTGACCGAAATGAATTTTTGAATGAGCAGGGATCCTGAGCTGGTTATACGAGAACGATTGACCCGATGGTGGATGGATATATCACTTAGCAGCATTTACCTCGCCGACCTTCCATCGCTCACCGCTAAGGAAAGGAGAGGTTAGAGGGATATCACCACCATGTCAGCATCACTGGTTAGAGGGTTGTTATCGGACCCCCATCTTCTCGTTAGTCGCCTGTTAGCCCGCCACAGTAACATGTCGGCCCCGGTCTTGGCAGGGTGGCTGTGAGCACCGCCACTGGCAGCTTTATAGTCATGTCATCCGCAGGAATTTCTATACATTATAGCTGATTTAATCAAATCTCAAACCATCTTGAAGAGTTAAATAAGCGATATGTAAATAACATAAAAATTAGTTTTTATACAATTTAAAACGTATGCCGATAAACCATATGACTAAGTGGGGAGGTGGTGAGATAGGCGAGATGTTATACCCGTCTATCTACTAGATACACATCCCTTACATTACCATCTCAATACCGAGTTAATGTCTCTCTACTGAGAGGTTGTAAACAAGCATTCAGCGAGGCTGACACGGGCTACAGATCTACAGATAGTGACGTCACAGACCTGACACGTCACGGCTGGTGGGTGGAGGTCGACCCTCGTGGTCGAGTATTTATTACTTACTGTGTGTAATGGATGGGAAGGCGAGGACGATCCTCGCAGCCTTGTATGTGTTACTAATCATGCGTTAATCATAGCTGTGATCTGACGTTACGCCATTCTTGATCCAGTTACTATATAAATCCCTGTAGTATTATATTGGAATTTTACCATTATCAATCCGATCTCATAATAATACTATCTAGTTTCAAAATAAAATAAATCTAGCAGCATGAAGTCAGATGGTCTAGCTACATATCGCTGTTAACTACATCTACGATGGGAAAAAATGCATTATTATCACTCTAATAATATGACAGTACCAAAACGTTCTAATACAATATCTAACCAAAACGTTCTAGTACCACCACAGTACCAAAACGTTCTAGTACCATCACACTACTATTTTTTTCCAAAGAACCCTTGATGTGTCCGTAAGCAACTAAAGGAGGCCATTAGAATCGCATAATCAGTAGCATGAATAAAGCGATTGTTTTGATAACGAGGATACCCTCGGGAACCCTCGTTAAGTATGCACGCCGATACCAACCGATTATGTACAGGCTCATTAAGCATTCATATTGATATTAACCGATTATACAGGACATGTCATTGTAATTGGTAAGTCTCTTATCACGACCGCAAGTTATTATACTGATAAATAACTTGGTTCCGTCCTTAAGACGCACGTGAGGTAACGACGCGATAATTGACGAACGACATTAAAACGCGTGCAGCGTCTTTGTGGGTCCTATAAAGGTTAATGACTGCGTGTAAAAACCCAGACAATCATCCACTTACGGCCGAGAGCTGTATTAACATACTGGATATTGTAAATACACAGCTAGTTAGCTCAGCAATAGGATTTAATTAGACAAACCTGCTCCCAATGGCGTGTCTCTAAAGTGCAACTCGCAAGAACCTGGATTAGTCTGCAGGTATCGTTTATAGAAACGTTATCCTGCCTTCTTATCAACAGATGAGTAGAGCGACCTGTAGTATATGTTTAAGGCATTGGAGCACATGTACGTTTATAAGACACTGGAGTACATTACAGGGGATAGGACACTCGTGGGTCTATACCACAGATGATGATCGTCAGATACAACCCACGTGTTTCCAATTTCAAATAACCAAAGTCTATAAATCCCACATGAAATTCAATAAAACTTAACAAACTGAAACTCCGAACAACGCAACTGTGTGACATTTCAAATTAATTCAAATAAAATATCTTATTTCGCAAAAACCGTTCAAACATGTCCAAAATAGTTTTGTGTCTACTTCCTTGTTCTTCCTTTTACTGTTAGAAAATTTGAGTGATCAATACAACCCAGAACCGTCCTCCAGTAGGTAGGGACCACTCAAGGTCAGTCCAAATTGTTTTCACACAAGCCATGACAAATAAAAGTCATTGAAATAGCAAGGACGTGTTCCCAATCAACGGTTATGTAGAACGGACCAGCTATTTTATTATGATAGGTCTGCTAGATGTATTAGGGGTATTGCCTCGATGTGGCTGCTCTCTACCGATACACGTGTAGGAACGGGCACGGGGAGAGGAGGGGAACCAACAGATTACCCCCGCCGACATTGTTCTCCGTCGAGCGATATTCCCCTGATGTAACAGAGATAACCTCCGTTCTATGGGTTAATGCATTTTGATGCCATTATAAAAACAAATATTTCAAAATGTATTCAGTTGCTGTATTCATGACCACGATATCAGATATCTGTGTTTATTCGCGAGATCACCAGGACTTGCAGCGCGAGAGGCAGAACGATTAAATAAAAGTCGACCTCGAAAATAATCTTAGACAATGGTCTCTTCATACAGAAATGTTGGATCACATTCGTATATAACATGCATTATCGTGCCTCATGCTGCCGTTTTTTGCATCCCATATCTCACGCCGCTTGGTTATCAGCATTCGTATTGCTGACGTCACTTCCTGTCAGCACCGCAGTTCTCGAGGGCACTGCTATCACAAAACGAACTAATAAACGTAGAAGATCCGGGACGATTTCATGAAATCAATTAAAATATTTTACAGTGTATGCAGCGTACATTGTGGATGCCTTAGGTCTCAGAGAGAACACATAGGGTTGCACTTGAAATATTCCCCACAGTACTTAAATCGGTTAATGCGTTCAAGAAGAATGCCTATCATCGCTTGCTTTTGAACATGTGCAAAGTTTTCAGTCAAACGTAGATCATTTCACACTTGAAAATGTGAATGTCATCGTTAGTTTTACTTGAACAAAACACTTGTCATGTTTAGGAGGAAGTGTGTACTTCTTGCTCTTCCATGTCCTTTGTTGATACAAATAGATTCCCTACTCAGCCGAAAAACCCGAAGGCCCGTATCATGGCATCAAACGCCTTACATACCCTACGTCTATGGACAGAGTTTATCATTTTGATGATTTCATTGTGTTTTAAGCCCCATAAACTAGCGATAAACTTGTTCCCTAATCGCCCT